ATCGTTTTGGATGTCGACGATATCCATGTGGGAGTCTAGGCCTTTTATGATGAAAGACAGTTTCCTGTCTTCTTCCAGTGTATAGGTGTGATATTCAAAGGAGTTTTGGGTGAGGAGTTTTGTGATGAAGCGATGTTCATCGGAGGAATTTGGTGTAAAAGAGATACCGGAGTTTCTCTTTTTGGGATTTTGGATTTTTATGTTGTGGGTGGATAGGAGGGCCTGGATTTTGGTCCAGTCGGCCGGATTTTTGGCCGTAATTGGGGCGATGGTTTTGGGTTTTGGGGGTTGAGGAGGTTGGGAGGGTGGTTGTTTGGTGTTTTGGGCTGTCGGGGTAGGTTCGGTTCGTTTAGTTTTGGCTTCTTCAGCCTGGAGGTGTTTTTGAAGGGTCTTGTTCGACGTTTTGGGAAAGTTCCATGGGGCAGTCGGCTTTAGGGGGGGAAAGTTTGAGTCGACTTCCATGGATTCAGAAGTTTGGGGTGGTTTGGGGCTGTTTTTTGGGGGTTCGGGTGAAGCCCGAGGGGGGGTTTGGGTTAGTTTGGTGCTTTCTAAAGTAGAAAGACGTTCCGAAAGGTTGTTTACATGGGTGTTTAGTTTAGCGATTGTCGCTAGGGCTTTTTTCAGTTTTGCTTGAAGAGCGTCACGTTCCTTGCGGACAGTATTGTAAGAGTTGATAGAGAAATATGGGGAGGACTTGAGAGAGGTTTTGCCAGAGGCGCTTACCGTCTTCCGGTTATTTGGCGAGTCCATCCTGGATCACTTGGGGCTTTCCGGAGCCCTAACTAAAAAGGGGACCTGCACGCGGCTCTTAGGGAGCGTTGTGCTCGAATTTCTTTTGTGGAATTAATAAATTTCTACGGGGCACAATATTGGAGCGAGTTCGGTTGTTGTGGTTGTTACTAACTGACGTTATAACTGACTGAGCACAGGATTTTGTTCGACCGAATGGTTCGGCTGTTCTTTGGAACATATTTATTTCAGCTAAGTTTACAAACTTCTTACTGTTACTTAATCTATGGATCCTTAGTGCTAACATCACTAGAGTGTCTAACACTCTGTGTACCTTAAGATAACATCATATGACTAAATCTAAACTAACCTAAGTACCTAATCTAAACCTAAACCTAAACAGC